CTGTATATTCGGTGGACGGCACTCCTTCATTGCCCATGCTTCGAGGAAAGAGCCCAACAGGATCGACAGGCGGTGACATGAACTGGAAGTGGGATAAACTTAGAAGATACCACCACTCACCTAGAAGGATAAAAGCACAAAACGGAGATGCGGTTTCAATAAACTTTAGATGGTCAGATGCAACAATGGGCAATCAGGCCATGGTTGTTGTTTTAGTCCATCGAATGAATCATGATAGTGCAATCAACAAGGGCCCCTCGCACGCTTCAACCGAGGCTCGATGTCTGAGCAAAACGGATTTGACTTTCAAAAGACAAACTCTGCTCATCATAGAATGCCTTGCTAGATTAATGGATATTTTGGATCAGTATACCGTCAAGCAGGCACTTGCCCGTCGGTGTCTTGCTCTCCATATCTATCGTCGCAGGTTGACCTTCCAGGTTGGCTTGAGAACGGAGCAAGGGAAGGAGACTAGAAATCTTTTTAGTGGGGCCGAGCTAGGGAGCCATGTCCTTCGACTCAGGGCTTGGCAGGCATTACCTTCTGGTACATGTACAGGGAAACGAAGTCACCTGACTCACTTCCAAGCCAAGCCATTTTCGGCCGCCAGCCACTACGAGCAGGCTGATGCCCGCAATATCAGGCGCAACTTCTTTATCTCGCTCATCTTTGTACCATTGGTCCAAATCCAGACCGCCCCAGCGCCCCTCCTGCTGCTCCCTCCACTGCCAGTCCCTACCGAATGCCGCCTGCAGCAGGGGGGGGGAAAAACTAAATTTTTTTAGACCCAAAACGCGCCGCAGGCCTAACAGTAAAAAAAACTTAGTTCCTGGGGGGCGGCGACTCTGCTAGATCCCTTCCCTGCCAATTTTTTCCCTCCCTATCCATCCTGCCTGGCAAAAAAAAAACTTTTTTTTCGCCATCAACGACCAAAACTCTTTCCCATCCTCACCTTTTTCTCTCCCTACCTTCCACCCCCAATCACTCATCGCAAGGTCTCTCCCAACCGCTCATTTCTAATCGAGTTTGAGGCCCATTTGAACCCGCTGAATCAACCTAGCTTTGATTCGCGTCTCGCCTCGCTCGCATTACCCAAACCACTCTTTTTGCTCATCAACTCATCGAGCTTTTTTTGAACTGAAGCTCCTCGGACTACTACAGACATCACCCTAATCGCAAATATGTCTTCTTACGGAGGCGGAGGTGGTGGTTACGGTGGCGGCTCCCGCGGCGGAGGCGGCGGCGGATACTCGAACGGATATGATCGCAATGGCGGAGGTGGTGGTGGTGGTGGCTACGGCGGCGGCGGCGGCGGTGGTGGTGGTTACGGGTATGTTTCTCTCTCATCATTCTTTCACTGGCTCCTTGACGGTCGGTTCGTGATTCGCGAGTGCGTTTGCACGATTGCTTCCGAACCCGCCGTCACCTCGCATCCATTTTACAGTCTAGCTAACGCGCATTCATTACAGCGGCGGCTCCAACGGCTACTCCGGCGGTGGTGGTGGAGGATACGGAGGCGGCGGCGGTGGCGGCTTCGGTGGTGGCGGCGGTGGTGATCGCATGTCCAACCTCGGAGCTGGTCTGCAGAAGCAGGACTGGGACATGGGCTCCCTTCCCAAGTTCGAGAAGTCTTTCTACCAGGAGCACACCAACGTCTCCAGCCGCTCCCCCGCTGAGGTTGAGAAGTTCCGTGCAGACCACGCCATGACGGTCGCCGGCTCCAACATCCCCAGACCCGTCGAGACCTTCGATGAGGCTGGTTTCCCAAGATACGTTATGGATGAGGTCAAGGCCCAGGGCTTCCCCGCCCCTACTGCCATTCAGTCTCAGGGCTGGCCCATGGCTCTTAGCGGACGCGATGTCGTCGGTATTGCCGAGACCGGTTCCGGAAAGACGCTTACCTACTGCTTGCCCGCCATTGTCCACATCAACGCCCAGCCCCTCCTCTCCCCTGGCGATGGACCCATCGTGCTGGTTCTTGCTCCCACAAGAGAGCTGGCTGTTCAGATTCAGCAGGAGATCACAAAGTTCGGCAAGTCGTCGCGCATCCGCAACACCTGCGTGTATGGTGGTGTCCCCAAGGGCCCCCAAATCCGCGATCTGTCTCGCGGTGTCGAGGTTGTCATTGCCACACCCGGTCGTCTGATTGACATGCTCGAGTCTGGCAAGACCAACCTTCGCCGCGTCACCTACCTCGTCCTTGATGAGGCTGATCGCATGTTGGACATGGGTTTCGAGCCCCAAATCCGCAAGATCATTGGCCAGATTCGCCCTGACCGTCAAACCCTCATGTGGTCCGCTACGTGGCCCAAGGAGGTTCGCGCCATGGCTGCCGATTTCTTGCACGACATGATCCAGGTCAACATCGGCTCCATGGAGCTGGCTGCCAACCATCGTATCACTCAGATCGTTGAGGTTGTCAGCGAGTCGGAGAAGCGTGACAAGATGATCAAGCATCTTGAGAAGGTTATGGAGGGCAAGGATAATGCTAACAAGATCCTCATCTTCACGGGCACCAAGCGTGTTGCTGATGAGATCACCCGCTTCCTGCGCCAGGATGGCTGGCCCGCGCTTTGTAAGTCTTTTACCCACGAATGGCTATGGAATTCAAGTGTCCCTTTACTAACATCATCACAGCCATTCACGGTGACAAGCAGCAGAACGAGCGTGATTGGGTCTTGGATCAGTTCAAGACTGGTAAGAGCCCAATCATGGTTGCCACAGACGTCGCGTCCCGTGGTATCGGTATGTATTTTCCCACCTCCAACTCCCCTCCCCCATCTTGGGCGACTTCCAGCATATATGCGTGCTGTGCTTTACTCTTCTGTCTAGGGGCTCTCTTGATTGCGCGAACTTGCCTGACCTCGTGTCTGCATGGTCTCCTTGTATGGAGTCTTGGTTTCGTGACGTAGCAGAAACATTCGTTTGGCTGTGCTACGCCCGTGATTCTTCTCTTGTACCGTTTCTCATGCCGTGGTACAAGCGTGGAGTAGGCATCTCTTGACCTTGATCAAGCTTGTCTCCAAGATTCCCAAGGCCTGAGGACCTGGAGCCTTGGATCTTCCATCGGCATATTCTTCGCAACGGACAGCCCATCTGCCATGGAGAGAAGTACTACCAAAGGATCACAGAACATACTTAGATATCCGTGCCATCCGCCATCCGTTCATGCTGGAACGTTTGCTATACCAAAAATCTTGCTATCGCTAACCCTTTCCTTACTCAAGATGTGCGCAACATTACTCACGTGCTCAACTATGACTACCCCAACAATTCCGAGGATTACATCCACAGAATTGGTAGAACTGGTCGTGCCGGCCAGACCGGTACTGCCATCACGCTGTTCACCACTGATAGTATGTCACCCCCTATCCTCCAGATACCAGTCTGATCAGTATAACTAACTCTCAAACCACAGATGCTAAGCAGGCGCGCGATCTTGTGAACGTCCTCCAAGAAGCTAAGCAGCAGATTGACCCTAGACTTGCTGAGATGGCTCGCTATGGTGGCGGTGGCGGCGGTGGCCGCTACGGTGGTTACCGCGGTGGCCGTGGTGGTGGCCGCGGCGGTGGTGGTAAGCTTTCCCCTATCTGCGAAACGCTATCGCTTCCTGACCGCTTCCCAACAGGGCGATCGGGCGGATATTCTGACGGAGCTAACGCCTTCCCCCTAGGCAACCGTCGTTGGTAGACAATAAAAACAGCTCTCGGATTCAGTGCCGTCATGGTGGCATTGTAGTCACATTCATGACTGGGCTTCAACGATAGCACATCCGACCTCGGACATCATCATGGCGTTTAATGTAGAGTGGGGTTCAGTCTAGAGGTTGGTTCATATTGCTATAGACGCTCACCAACCGTGTCGCGTTGCTTTACCGTAAGATTGATTTGGGGTGTGGCTTTTTCTTTTGTTCTTCTTTTTCTTATGTCTTTGCGGATTTTATTATGGATATGGAGGAAGGAATACCTCCCGGGGAAGTTGCTCATCAGGACTACCTGCCCCTCAGGTACATATGGGGACGATCAAGTTATTCAGCTTGAGCTGCAGCGATATCAGCCGGCCTCACCAGTAGGCATAGTCGAGTGCTTTTTTTAATGGGCTCGGCAACATGCTTTCGATGACGGAGGCTAGTCAGGGATTGGCGGTTTTATTCAGTCATCCATACTACTCGCTCATGATCTCGAGGTAGCCTTCCGGTTGCAGTCTTCTATTTGTACATTACAGTAGGAATAAGAGGGAGAGGCACAGAGATTAACTCGCTGCTTCGCTCGAGATCTGATAGCAATGAACTATTTTTACACATTAAATGATGGGTCTTGTGATTGTGACTCTGTCATGTACGTGAAGTGAGTACACTAAAACCTTCTAGGAACATTGAGTTCTAGGAGTGTACTAACTACAACGCAGTCTCAAAGTACCTGGGTATGACTGGGCATAATCACGGGAACAGTATCGTAAGTGTGCGTTGTACTTGATAGATCACCACTTACACAAAATGTGTATGATTGTGGCATAATTATACTGGGTCAACCAACGGGACCCATACAGTCTATACCAGTGACAAACCTATGAACTACCCAATTGTGGGAGTATTTCTTCTTGGCGAACTCTTCGCTTCGTGTGATGATGACCGTAATCATCATTGTATGTTTACTCAATCCCTAGTAAGGAAGCGACAAATGCATCCAGCTTGCCTAGATTACTACATTGTGGACACCCGATACAAATTGTATCTGTAGGAAATAAACATTTGTAAAGATGCTGTCACGTTGTCGTTATTAGCAAACACAAATACAAGAAACATGGGGTAAAGAAAGTGTCAGTCGTGATGAATAGCGACAGATCTAGATATACACCCAGCAAGGTGTGGCACAACATGAGAGTACAGGATAATGAAATAATAACATCCAAAACCAATATCACGAGGACAACAACAAAAAAAAAACCCCAACCACAATGATCACTTGGACTTGGATCAAAGTCAAATGAGCAAAAGAGAAAGGTCCTACCCGGAATCGAACCGGGGTTACCGGAATCAGAATCCGATGTGATAACCGCTACACTATAAGACCGATTGGGGGACCTTGTTTGAATGAGAGGATCTCATTTGCTGGCTTTGCTCGATGACGATTCGCAGAGTTTATTCGGTACATAAAGGGAAAGAAAGAAGTGCGTGTGTGGGAGTGGATTTGAGAGTTTTTGTGTGGGTGGCTCGTTGATAAACCCCACTTCAGAGGGTTGTGTGGGGTGGGACCGTGAGACTCAGTGGGGTGGTTGTATCGGGAGGATAACTCCTTTCTCGGTAGGACAGGGTAAGGAGTAAGGACTGGTTGATTGTTGTGGTTGGTGCGGTATGCCTGGACTTGAGTAGGGTTTAGGGAGCAGTTGCTATTGAAGTTTGAGAAACTTGATTATGTGAAGTACGTCTGCTCCAACTGATCTGGAGATAGTATGATCGATCTAGTCTGATAGTACTAGTGGTTGGAAGCTCAATGGCAATGATACGAGGTAACATATCTTATCTCAGAGAATAAACTATTTTACTCAGCACATCTACATATAGCTCTTCCTCCGCATCTTACAGTCTCTGATATGTGGTTGACACGGCCTGGTTACATCTCATCTTGGAGCCTCGCGGCATTATGTTGCAGATGCTTCGTTGCGAGCTGGTATATTTCCTTTAATGTGCCCCCATTTTTTTAAGGTCTCTATCTACAGTCTCTATCAATGGATTTTATGAATGCCACTTAAGTAGCCCCTCTCAACAGGAGGCCATGTCAAGACGGTACATATATCACGTTATCGTGCGTCTTGCTGTAGCACAAGCCCAAAATATGCCGTACCCCTTATTCCTCAACATCAAGTATGTAGTACGGGTTACGGGAACTGCTGCCAGTTTTACCTCCCAGACTGACGACCCGGCTGTCATCATGCGATGTCTTCTGTCTCTTATTTCGCTTCTTCGACTTTGGAGACGTCTCCAGCTCGGTCGACTCTGTCTTGGGCTGTAAACTCCGTATATAATGAGGCAATACAGCGGCCAAGCATGCCAAGCCACCTGCTTCGTTCACACGCCGAAGCATGCCCTCAAAGTTCCGCGGGGAGGGGAATTCGGACAGAGAAGGCAGCAGCGATATCGAGCGGGCTAGTTTCGACACGCTCGCCGCTACATCTCCCGTGTGCCGTAACGTGAAATCAAGCATCTGCTTCAGCATTCGGAGCGAATAATACGTTGCCTGTGCTTGCGCGAGGAAGTGAAGCGAGTCCCATGAGTACGGGTCGAACTTCTTTGCAGCTTCTTGGCTGAGCAGCTCAACGCCGAGAGGCCGGCTTGTCTTGCCTTGTCCCATGGTGAGAATGATGTCTTGGTAGATGGAGAGGTTCATCCAGACGGTCTCGGGCGCGGGCGTGACGCTCGTCTCTACTTTTGACAAGACGTCCAAGAGTGCCGTTGCTTCGGCATCGATGGAAGACGGCGGCGGAACCTCGACGCGTACTCCTGCCGATAGAGATTGCAGCCTCCTGAATTCGGATACGGAGTGTATCACGGTCACATCCTGGGTGGACTGCTGTAAGAGGCTGTATGCGAGCTGTCTGATGCGCTTGCTTGATTCCCAGGCACTTGTCCGAGAAGGGGAATCGAGTAGGAATGGAAGATACATGGCGAGCTCGCCGTCTTGGGGTCTTGATGTGTTTGATGTTTTTGTAGGACTCGGCGCTTTTTTGGCGCTTGATCCGAACACGTGTTGGAGAGCAATCTCTGATATTCGTGGGTCCATACCCAGGTCGTCTTCGACCTCTATGTTGGTCGCTACTTCTGGAGTTAAGTACTGCTTGATAAACTCGGAATAGTCGTAAGGGAACTTGGCGATGCCAGTCTCTTTCCTGCATCTTTCGAGTGCTTGATCCAACGAGATGTGGGGATCCATAATAAGCTCAAAAGCGAGGTTCAGGAGCCCGTCGTCAGGCTTGATGGCTAGACTTTTGCAAATATCAGACGTGCGGTACTGGAGTGCAGTGAGCACCACCGACTCAGAGTCCACATCAATGTCACCGAAAAATATGACGCTGCCGTCGGGCCCAAGCTGGTGGACGAGGAGATCCGAGTCGGATGTGAGTACAGCTCCGCCGTGTAAGCGGACGTGGTGAGCACAGAATCCATCGGCTTCGCCAGGCACGACTTTGGTCAAAGGGCCGTATTGGGAAGACCGTCTCAGGGCGTCGATGACGGCGGGCACAAGAAAGGGCGGAGGGGGCGGCTTCTTGCTAGCCTCACCTCCCCATGCTGTCGGAAACAAGTCGACGGGGGGTGGCGCCGTCTCGGCGACATGAGGCCGCTCCTGCGGAACATTGGTCAGGAATGCCTTGTGGTAATTGCACAGGTCCCGAGATACTTTCATGACCCGTTGGACCCTCTCGGGCTGTTTTGACTTGGGTAGGAAGCCGTCAAAAAAGATGGCGGTGCTTTGAGAGAAAACGAATCAGCTTCAAGACATCATCTCTAAGACGGACTGACAAGTAATGGCGGCAGAGTCTTTTTACACAGGGAGGCCACTTACACAAGGAGCCCACAGGCCTGGATTTGGTCAAGCCATGCAATTGCAGTTTGTCCAAGCAGCTCATATGCCGGCTGCTCGAATGGGCTGGATCTTAGTGATTTTCGTTGACAAAGATTGAGAACATGGTAGGCGAGTGCTGGGCCGTCGAGAGCTACGGATACACTTCCGGGCGTGACGATGCCTCTTTGCGCATACGGCTCCAGATGTCTCTTGAAATGAGGGATGCCCATCCTGATTTAAATGTGCACACGCTCGTCGGAAGTTTAAGGCAGGCAGGCAGGCGGGTTTGTGGTGTTGAACATTTCGTCCAGAATTACAGACACAGTGGGGGTTTGCCCCTCTGTTGAGTCTGCCTCTGGGTCGTTTACCCGATATGTATTGAGTATTCTGCGTTCTACCTTGACTCTCTGGATGCATACCAGGATGACGACGAATTGATCGTGCCATTGGCCACCATAAAATATCAAGGGAAAGTCCTCTGTCCACTGCTGCAGCTCCAGTGGGCGTAGCTTCCGAAAGTTGTAAGGCAACTGACTCTGCTTGGTTTCCGCTCGTTTTCGTGACCCACATGTGCTGCAGCCTGCAGGCAAGGTCCCGCCTACCAGGCCCCCCGTTCGCCCGTTCTTTTTTCTCCCCTCCTGGCTGGGTCCACTTGCTCTTCTTTAGCTCCAGCCATTCCCCATTTCAACTGAAAATAAAAATTCAAAAGGATTTCCCCCCACAGCTCAACTTCTCCCTTCTCCCTTGAGCAACCCTCCCCTCTTGCAACAAGCATGCGAGGCACCCTCATCTTTGCGGGCAGCTCGTGCCCGGCCCTCACAGGCAAAATATGCGAGAATCTGGGCATGGCGCCGGCCGACGCCGAGCTCACCCAATTCTCCAATGGCGAGACGAGCGTCAGAATCCTCACCAGTGTCCGCGAGAAGGACGTGTTCGTCGTGCAGTCTGGCAGCCCCAAGATCAATGACACCATCATGGAGCTGCTCATCATGATATCTGCGTGCAAAGGAGGCTCGGCGAACAAGATTACTGGTATGTTGTTGCCCTCGTTAGCTGCCACAAACTGGCATGCCCACACCCCTTGGAAGCTATTTCCAGGTTGACCAAGACCTCTAGCTGTCTTGCCCTACTTCCCTTACAGCCGCCAATCAAAGAAGAAGTCGCACCGCGGCGCTATCACCGCAAGGATGCTTGCAAACTTGCTCGGGGTTGCTGGCGTTAAGCACGTCGTCACCGTCGACCTGCACGCCTCCCAGATGCAAGGCTTCTTCAAGTGTCCGGTTGACAACCTTCACGCAGAACCCCTGATCGCCCGCTGGATCCGTCACAACGTGCCCAATTGGAAAGAGGCCGTCGTCGTTTCCAAGAATGCCGGAGGCACAAAAAGAGTGACGTCGCTGGCCGATGCGCTCAAGCTCAACTTCGGCATGGTTACCACAGACAAGAAGAGAGGAGGCTCCAACATGACCGCAAGCATGATTATGAACCACCTGGACGGCATTGAGCGACAACCATTGCTCGAGGCTTTCGGTGATCAGGTGCGTGGCCACTCATCGACGCTGGAGAACGGAACCTCTGCCACAGAAAACGGACAGCCGCGGACCGTCCGTGCGGATGCCCAAGGATCACCTCGACGTGCTAATGGCCTGCACCAACGCACCACGGGCAGCTCCAGGCCCACGGTGGCCCGTGGACAAACCACAACACCACAATCCTCTGCAATTGATGAATTGGACGAGGATGGAGAGCCTGACGGCCTCGAGTATAATGATCAGCGAGCCCACGAGGTGATACATGGTCGGTTAGTCCAAGGCCACATTGTGCCCGACGATTTTCCGTCCCCGGCCACATCTGCAGCGGATGCCAGCTTGACCGAGGATGACCCCATGACAATGTCACACGCGTCTTCCTTCTTTGCTTCTCAACAGCATGCCCTAGGTGGCTCAGGGGATGCCGCGAGCTCTGATGAAGAGGATGAGATTCTCAAGGACCCCAAGATTGAGCACATGATCACCTTGGTTGGCGACGTCAAGAATCGGACTGTCTTCATTGTCGATGACATGATCGACAAGCCCGGCTCCTGGATCGCTGCCGCCGAGACTGTCGTCAAGCGGGGCTTTGCAAAGAAGGTCTACTGCATTGCAACGCACGCCGTCTTTGGAGCCGACTGTCTTGAGCAGATGCAAGCCTGCGACTGTATTGATGCTATCGTTGTGACAAACAGCTATCCTATCCGGGAAGACAAGGCCCGCAACGCCAGCAAACTGGTTGTACTGGATCTTTCTTTCCTTTTGGCAGAGGCAATTCGCCGGAACCATTATGGCGAGTCGATGTCGCCTTTATTCCAGCACATCGTCGATTAATTCTACAGAAACATCGTTATTTTTTATCTTTTATCAGGGAAGAGGACATCAGCCACCACTGGCCACCGAACGCGCTTCGCCGTCAGGTATGTGGGGAGACTTGGACCTCAAGCGTGGCGTTGGGTGATATGGACACTTGACTTTTTGACT